AACTATCAGATGAGTTCTTCCACACAGCCACTCCCTTCTCTGTTGCTTTTAAGTACCAGGCTGCTCAGCAGCCAGTCGTGAGTCCTGCAGATGCTGGCTGCCTTGGTCCTGCTCCTGCAAGCATTCATCCTCCCTGTTGGTGCTGGGCTGGTGCTGTGCTGCCAGACGAGCACTACACCTCCTGTCTTGCAGGTCTCCCCTTATTCTCTTCCTATGGTATTCCTGAGGCTCTAGAGACAGAGGTGGTGAAATGATCAGCAACTGGCTCTCCCTTGCCAGCTCAGGGCTGGGAGGCTGAGGATCTGTGTCTGGCCCCTCAGAGACTGCCTCCTCTTCCTGCAGCACCTCTGCCGCTGGCTGTGGGTTGGGGTCAGGTCCACTGGCTGACTCTTCCTCAGAGGAGACCTCAGTGTCCTTTTGCTCTGCTGGGCTTGACTGGTCCATGACAGGTACAGCCTCGTACTACCATCTGGTTTGGGGACCAGGATGATGGGGCTGCACCACAAGCTGCAAGAGGGCTCCATGATGCCCAGCTGCAGTATCTCATCTGTCTTTTTCTGCAGCCGCTAGCCAATTTAGTTCAGCTAATCATTCTGGCCCTTATAAACCAGCAGTTGATAATCCATGATGGCTAAGGAAATATAATTATGGAGAGGGCCCAAACAGACCAGCTCCCCTACCAAGATGGCATCCCCCTATTTTTGACTGAAGCCGTGAGGAAGGAGCAGAAAGAAGGGCAGACTGCTAGATGCAATGAACTGACTTTTTATTTTTGCAAACATTCAGGACATGTACAATCTTGCTGCCCACGGCTGCAAGCAAGAACAGAAGCCAAGAAGCCAAAGGTTCAAGTAATATCGAGTGACCTTCAGAAACCTACAGCTCATCAAGAACACACATCTGGGGTGGATGTGATTTGTGAACAAGAGAGGGGAAGAATGTCCACCTCAGATATAGTTGATGCTTCTCACAAGACACTGTCGCCTTGTCTTGTGAGTAGATATCTTCTTGCAGGAAGGAATGGGTTTACTCAAGTCAGAAGGGACAGGAGGACAAAATTTTCAGTCAGGAAGAAAAAAAGAGGCTTCACATTACAAGAATTCAGCTAGGTAACCTTCCCAAACGTAGCATTTTTCATTACATCTCCCAGGAACAGGCAGACTAGGGTGGGAAAAAACTGTCAGATTGGAAGACCAATTCCTGCTTTGACTGCCTCTGGGGCCGATCTGTCTTCCATTTTGGAAGATCTTTTCTATGCCTTGGGGTTGAAAGCAGATGGTAAAGTGGCAGCAGTCCAGAGAGTTTGTCTTTTGTGTTTCCTTTCCCTGTAAGGCTATTAACCTTACAGGAGGGACCGGAGTATGTTTGGCATTGAAGTGGTAAGCTGCCTCAAAAGATGGAATTGACTCCTGTTTTATCGTGATTTACTACAGAGCTTGTTATGAGGACTTAATCTGTAAGAAGCTGCAACCTCCTTTTTAAAAACTGTTAGCCTATCTTGCCACTTGAATGTTTTATTGCCAACTGCTCATATGATGGATGATTTCTGCAGTGCATACATTCTGAGAGTTTAAATGTTTCTACTCAAATGAAATGGTGGGGTTTCACCCCCATTTTTGCTGTGTGCTGAGAGTTCCCTTTTTGCTGGTGAGCTGTAAATTTACCTGCTGAAGTGAACCCCAAGGTCAGTTAACAGGAAGTACTACTTTACACAGAGGCTGATTAAAATGTAGAATTCACTGTCAGAGGATGTATTGATGGCCACAGGAATACCCAGCTTTAAAATACCCAGCATGCACACAAAAGCTTATACTTAGAATTGTTGGTCTTAAAGGTGCCACTGGACTCAAACTTTGTTCTGTCACTTCACACCGACATGGCTACCCCACCTGAATCTATAATATTTTTGTTCTTTCCACACATGTTTTTCTCTACATGATTATAAAATCAGACTACTGACTTTGGTTTGGATTGGGTCTCGCAGCCTCTGCCCCATTTCCTCCATCTTTGGCATTTTCCAGCTTTTGCCTATAATGGCTGCGTCGACACACTGGATAATGCACTTTAGCAATCATTTGCAACTGGGTTTTCCTGTGATTCAACATGAAAACCGCCTACTGAGTTATTGGAGCACATTCCATAAATAAGCCATATGCTAGCAGTTGTGGCTTTTGGAATAACAGAACAACTTGAGTGGAGCAAGAAACAGCAGAGAGCAATGCTCCAGAAGAATTAAGCCTATATCCCAAGGAGGTGAACTGTTTTAAGAATTTAAGAGAATGTCTGCGTCTGTTGCCCTTGGGAGTGCACATAACAGTTATACTCACAAATTGGGTTGCTATTGCCTCATTTTTAGTTCCTCAGTAGACCCTGGTAACTCCCTGCTCAAACAGATAGAAAGGGAACATACAGAACAAAACCGAGAAGCCTTTCCAAAGGCAAAATAATTGCTACAGTATGTCTGTTAAAACAGGCAAGCAGGTGGTGGTGTTTTATGTCAATCAATGGGAAGCTTGTCTTTTATCTCAGGATTGCCCGCTTGGTATGTGTTGGGTGCGAACAAGCATACCCACTCTAACAGAGGCATTAATGAGACTTTAGGCTGCGCTGCTTGTACAATGTAGCAAGGCAAGTGTTGATATTGTATGGGCATTACTTCCCTATTTTAAGGTGAGCAGAGGCTTTGTGGTTTGCCCAATGTTCCTCGGATTCCTGCCTTCTGCATCACAAGAATGGCTAATGATGGCAGGAGTGGGGTCACCAGTTGAGATCCGTGCCTTCGCACTGAGCCCATTGCCAGTGGGCCGTGACTGGACCCAGCTGGCCTCCAGCCTCGACCTTCCTTAAGAGGCTGCCCTGCCTCCCCCAGCCACCTGACGCTGGCACATTAAGATTCAGAGCTGCTCCCCTCTGCACCCAACTGGCCTCTTGAGTGGGCCTGGCTTCAACGGGCCTGCCACTTGGAGGGCAGACTGCCCTGGTCTGTTGACCGGCAGGGGCGGGGCCAATTTCTGCTGTACCCAGGCCATTGCCAGGCAGGCTATTCCAGCTGGCCCTCACCCCGTCACCCCTGGTAAGTGCAGGGGCCTTGGGGCTAGCCCTGTGCAGATCCAAATGAAAACTGTAAAACTTCTACCATTTCAATTCTACTCCAATTGAGAAGGGTTTCCCCAAATTCTTACTTGTTTTACCAAGACTAGTATTTTTTTCCACACACGCTCAAAGCATACTATACTACATCCTGTTTTTACAGTCAAAACTTAAAAGCTCATATTCCAGTCCTATCCTGTTCTGAAATATTCCTGCAGGTGGGGTAGCCGTGTTGTACTGAAGCAACAAAACAAGGTTTGAGTCCAGTGGCACCTTTAAGACCAACAAAGTTTAATTCTGGGTATAAACTTTCATGTGCATGTCCACTTCTTCAGATACATTGAAACAGATTTCCTCAAGTCTTAAATATAGGTGGGGGGGGTGTTAGTTGCCACTCCCCTTGTGGGATAGGGGAGGGTATAAATTTATTATTATTATCATCATTATTATTATTCCTTCCTGGCACTAGCCCCCCTTGTACCTATATGTTATGGCTAAGGAAGTCTGGTTTCAGTGTATCTGAAGAAGGGTGCACGCAATGACGCACACAAAAGTTTATGCCCAGAATTAACCTTTGTTGGTCTTAAAGGTGCCACTGGACTCAGACTTTGAAATATTGCTGTGGCAGTGAGTTCTACATGTCAATTAAGCATTGTTGAGTAAAGAACTTACTTCACTGAAATTTTTCATGTTATTATACAGTACTGTGGCCCCGGTTACACAGGCCGGATATCGCAGGGGGGAGGCATGGCAGATTGCCCCGGCGCAGTTTGATCCATGATTATACGATCAGACGTGCCGGTGGCACACCACATGTCCTTCCCTCGGAGCCGGCGCGTAAACGAGGGGCCGGAGGGGAAAGCCGCGCGCCAGTGCAATCACACCGCAGGCATCCGGAGGCATCCCGTGGCAAACCATTTGCCAGTACTTTGGAGGTACTACTTTTTTATTGCGCGTTTTCGGCGGTAAGCCACCAGTTGGCCACAGGTGCGCTCCACTTCCCAGATGTTGGGGTGCGATCACGCACGGATAATCTGCCCACCACCCGTGGCTCTGGGCCTGGGTATAGTTTTAATATTTTTAAAAACAGACTAGGCTATTAGCATTTAGTTTCTGTGGTGACAGGGAAAGCTGGAAAGTCACAAGTGCATGCACACCTGCATGAACACACTCTGCCTTTTTTCCCTCAGAAGAAAGCATAGCCACATTTAATGGGTCCCAAAGTATGCTAGCACAGGATTAAAATCCTAGCGTTCTCTAGTGTCAAAATTCAGATGTTTTAAATAAAAAGAAAATAAAACAGAAGTCTACTGGCACCTTAAGTAGTAATATTTATAAGCCTTAAATTTTGTTAGTCTTTAAGGTGCCACTGCCACCAGACTCCCGTTTTCTTTTGCTACTGCAGACTAAGAAGGCTACCTATCTTATAGAGACAGATCAAGATGGGTAGCCGAGTTAGTCTGTATGTAGCAGCAGAAAAAAACAAGAGTCCAGGAGCGCCTTAAAGACTAACAAAATTAAGGTGCTCCTGGATTCTTGCTCTTTTCTTCCTATCTTATATTTAGAGTAAGAGATGCTTGACGCAGGCCTCTGAGAGAGAGGGAGCCTGGACCACAGAGCCGTCTCTGAACTCAGAAGGCGGGGGCAGCCTCGGCTCTGCTGGAAGGAAAGGCGGGCTACTGCTTTTAGTCTCTTCTCTCTCCCTCTATCGCCGGCATGTGGGCGTGTTTCCAGGCCGGGGAAGGCGGCGGCGGGAGCAGCAGCAGCAGCCGCCGCCGCCGCCGCTACCATCTCCTCCTCCGCTTCCCTCCGCCTTCCCCTCAAGTTTGTGCCTGTTTTAAGAAAGCGCAGCCCAGAGCCTCCCCGGCGGAGTCTTGCCTCAGCCGCCACGCTGCGAGGCCCGGCAGGCGTGCCGAGCGCCCTTTCCCGAGGCGTGAGCCATGAAGAGCCGGCGGCGGTGGAGGTGGCGCTGGCAGCACCGGCGCTTCGCCCTGGGCTTGATGCTCTACACGCTGCTGCTCCTGCTGCTGGTCTCCTACATGCTGGACTACGGAACCAGGAGAGGGCGCGCGGGCGAGGAGGAGCCGCCGCCGCCGCCCCGCCATTGCCCCAGCCTCGAGGAGGCGCTCGGCGACTGGAGCTGGGAGGAGCCGCTGCCGCCCGGAGAAGCAGCCTCCCAGGGGGCGTCCGGGAACCGGACGGGGAGCGGGGCCGCCGCCGCCGCCGCCCCGGGCAGCAGGGCCGGCGGGAAGCGGCATGTTTACTTGCACGCCACTTGGCGCACCGGCTCGGCTTTCCTGGGCGAGCTGTTCAACCAGCACCCGGACGTCTTCTACCTGTACGAGCCCATGTGGCACCTGTAAAAAAACCGCTGGCGCCCTTCCCCTTCCCCTCGGGGGGCAAGGCGAGCAACCTGAGCACGGCCAGCATCTTCGGCTGGCGGACTAACAAGGTGATCTGCTCGGCGCCGCTGTGCCCGGACGCGCCCTGGGCTCGGGCCGAGGTGGGCCTCATCGACGGCGCGGCCTGCGAGCGGAGCTGCCCGCCGCGGGCGCTGCGGGACCTGGAGGCCGAGTGCCGCAAGTACCCGGTGGTGGTGATCAAGGACGTGCGGCTGCTGGAGCTGGGCGCGCTCCTGCCTCTGCTGCGGGACCCGGAGCTGGACTTGCGCGTCGTCCAGCTCTTCCGCGACCCCCGCGCCGTCCACAATTCCCGCCTCAAGGCCAAGCAGGCGCTGCTGCGGGAGAGCATCCAGGTGCTGCGGAGCAGGCACCGCGCCGAGCCCCGGGCACTCCCCCGACGCCAGCTCCTGCCGGCCCCTGTCGCCGCGGCCGCTCTGCCCGGGGGTGGCGGCGTCGGCCTCCGGGCGCACCAGCAGCACCGAGCCGAGTTCTTTCTGGGCGGCGCCCTCGAGGTGATCTGCCAAGCCTGGCTGCGCGACTTGCTCTTCTCCCGCCGCGCCCCGGCCTGGCTGCGCGCTCGCTACACGCAGCTGCGCTACGAGGACCTGGTGCTGGAGCCGCGCGCCCAGCTGCGCCGCCTCCTGCGCTTCGCCGACCTCGCGGCGCCGCCCGCGCTGGAGAGCTTCGTGGTCAACATGACCCGCGGCGCCGCCTACTCCTCCGAGCGGCCCTTCCTCATCTCCGCCCGCGACGCGCGAGAGGCCATCCACGCTTGGCGGGAGCGCCTGAGCCGCGAACAGGTCCGCCAGGTGGAGGACGCCTGCGGCGAGGCCATGAACCTCCTCGCTTACCCGCTGAGCGGCGCGGACGGCGATCGGCTGCGAGAGGGCGCCAGGGGGCGCCCAAGCGCTCCTCCTCACCCAGGTAGCGTCCCACTAGCCTCTCTCCGAGCTCTCGAGGGCAAATGTCTCCGTGGCTCTCTCTTTCTCTTCCCCTTCCCCTTCCCCTTTTAGCAGGCACAAATCCGGAACTGTGAAGTCTTTCCTGAAGCGGCTGGTCTGTGCATTCGTGCTTCACCTGCCATTTGTTCAGGCAGGAACAACGCCCCCGTATTTCCTTTTCCACTCAACCAGAGCTAGGAGGATAAGATGAATCCAGGCACTGCTGGAAAAAGATTTTCTCCCATGTGAAGCCTTTGTAATAATGATGTGTAGTCTGGGTCCTGTGTATGTGTATTCTTCAGTAAGTCCCACTGAATTCTATAGGGCTTACTCCTAAGTAAGAACACACAGCTTGCAGCTCTGAGGTCTGAAATCAGGGATGCCAGGCCAAACTTGTCCTGAGTCTTGAGCTTGATGCAATGCACACCAACCGACCTGTCTGTCATGGCTTGGCAAACTGGCTGGCTGACTTGTTCTCTCTACCAGCAACAACAGCTATATTTGAACCAGAAGTTAAGCCCATTGAACCTGTTTCCAAGTAAGCGTATTTTAGGCTGCGAGAAAATGATGTCTGCAAAACAGGTCACATCACCTACTTGCCTGCTTTTGGTGCTCAGCTAGGCAGTGACTTGCATCAGCCTTACATTAGTGGGATTAATGGGCTGCTTGGCTTGCTGTTTCTCACACCACGTTATATTTGGTGTACACTGTTTTAAGTGTGAACATTATGCATGAAGGCCACAGATAATTGTCTGTGTACACATATATACTGCAAGTACATTTTTTGCAGATCCATGGTTGGTTACAGCTTGTTGCTTTATGGTAGTAAATTGATAGTTTGCTCTGCATAATCTGTCAAATAGCACACAGTGGCAAGTGCTGAATGTGTGTATACACCTTTTATCACTTTGTGTGCTGCAGAGCTAAGTCTTATGTGTGTTTTTGAAGAAGCTGCAGTGAGTTCAATGGGACTTTCTCCCAAGCTGTTGTACTTCAGTAAAACTGAGCAGTGGAAGGAAAACTGTATTTCTCTCAACCCACTAGTTGTGAGAGAGGTAAAAAGTGTTTGAGAGAGTTGACAGAAAAGGGATCTAGCTGCAAAACTGGAAACTTTCATGCAGCCTGAAACTGTCCCCAGCTACCAGGAAGTAAATGCCACAGGTTCTTATATTTATACTCTGCTTTTCTGTCCAGTGGGGGCCAAAGTGACTTGCAACACGATTCCTCCATTTTATCCTCACAACAACCACCCTCTGAGGTAGATTAGACTGAGAAACAGTAACTGGCCCAAGGTCTCCCAACTAGCTTCCCTGGCAGAGTGGGGATTTGAACCTGGGTCTCCTAGATCCTGTTCTGACTCTCTAATCAACTAAATCTTGCTAACTCTTCAATGGGATACAGGATTGCAGGATTGTCTTTGAAGGATTAATGATCTGAGGACTTATAAACTGAATGGAATTCAAAGCTCAGTCTAGAAAAGCCTGGTGTGCTGTTGGTCAGTGACGGAAGCCAGCCTGTCCTGAAGGGGAGGGGCTGCCATTCCCCCTGAAAGCACCGGTTCCTAGCTTGTGAATGCTGCTGGAGTCTAGCTTGCAGTTGGAAGCGCAGGTCTCCTCCTTGGCACACAGTGCATTTTATCAGCTTCAGTGGAGGAGCCAGATGCAGGCCATTCCTCGAAAAGCGTGACGTGGCCATGGTGATCTGCACTCTGGTTACATTAAGATTAGATTTCTGTGTTGGGTTTTACATGCGGTTGACTTCTGAAACAGTCCGGAAACTTCCATTGGTCGAAAATGTGGCAGCCAGGTTACTGCGGGAGACTAGATACAGAGATCACATTACTCCTGTGCTTAAAGATCTATACGAGCTGCTTTGCCACCAGTTAAAAAGATTTTCTTCCCAAGCCCTGCTCTCTGTGTCACTGCTTGCAGAGATAAACCGGGGTGGGAGCAACCAGAGACAGGGCTTTTTCAGTGGCAGCACCTTGCCTTTGGAATTTCCTTTCCCCTGAAGGCTGCCTAGTACCTGCCCTGTTTTCTTTTGGGCACTAGGTCAAAACTTTTCATTTCATCTGGCTTTCAACTGATGGTTTTCATCTTTTAAAACTGGTCTGCATTTAGCCTGAAGATTGTTTTCTATCGTTTTAGGTTGCTGGATGTTGTATAGGTTGACTTATCAGTAGTTATTCTTCTATTATTTCATGATTTTATTGTTTTTGTTTTTACTTTTTGAGCTACCTCAAGCAAGTACCTGAAGAGGTGGTATATACGTTTTCTGGATTAATTGGGAAAACTAACTTTGAAGTTAGCAGAAAAGTACAGCAAATGCTAGGCCCTTCGGTCCACAAACTAATTTGTGTTGCGTAATGTGCTAAGAACAACCCGGAGTGGTGGAACTGACATGATGAGCTATGGGATATAAAGCATTAGCTAATTCTGTCTTTGATTACAGTTTCTACTCATTTGCCTGGGACAGATGTTCCTAACTGGCCTGTAATTTCCTGGTTCCCTTCTAGGCCTCTTTTTAAAACTCAGTAGAACAGTTTCTATTGTCCAGTCTTCTGGTAGAGTGGCTGATTTTAGTGATAAGTTACACATATGGGTTAGTAGACCAACAGTCTAACATTTGAGTTCCATGAGAACTCTTGGGTGTATATGCCATCAGGACCTGGTGACTTACTGATTTTTATTCTCCCCAGTAGGTCTACACTAGACCTTCATTTTTTGTCACCTCCATTGGACTTAGTTCTTCAGACTCCCTGAAAATAGTGGCTCTTGCATGGGTACATGCCCTATACTTTCCACAGTGAACACAGATGCAAAGAATTTGTTTAGTTTCTTTGGCATCTCCCCATCTTTCTTTAACAGTCCTTTTATTCCTTGGTCATTTAAAGGCCCAGCTGCTTCTCTGACTGGTTTCCTGCTGTGGATATATTTAAATAAATGGTTTATCATTTGTATTGATACTTTCTGCTTCCCAATTTCTCTTTTCACATTCCTAATTACTTACACCTTTTTTGCTGGACCCTGTGGTGCCTTATGTCCATTGGGGCATACCTTCCTCTTCTTAAAAGAAGGCTTTTTGCTTTTTATTGCTTCCTTGACTTGGGGTATTAACTATGCAGGTATTGTTTAAAACTTGGCAGTACTTTTCCTAACCTGGGGAGTGCATTCTATCTGGGCTTCAGTTAGTGTGGTTTTAAATAGCTTTCAGGCATCCTCTAGGAATTTGACTCTCTTGTGTTTCCCTTTTGGCTTCCCTTTTAACTATTTCTCTCATTTTTGTAAAGTTCCCTCTTTGGAAATCAAATGTTACAGTTTTGGACTTCAGGGGTAAGTTTTCATTGATATGAATGCTGATCTTCATAGCATTGTGGTCATTGTTCTCACCATATCTTGAGCCCTGCTCAGACCCAGGTCCCCTCTTGCTGACTGTGATCAACTGTTCCAGTGCACATTCATTTCTGATGTACAGGAATCTCATTTCCACTGCATGACTGGTATTTACCCAGTCAATGTGAAAGTGGCTGAAATCACCCATTATCACACCATCTGATGTAGTCATCTCTGTTATTTCCTTCTCCATCTCAAGATCAGCCTCAAGGGTTTGATCAGATGGGTGATAGTATGCCCTCACTTTTAAGTAACCCTCAGGGCCCAGTATTTCCACCTATATTGCTTCTGTTAGGGAGTTCATTCACCAAATGTTTTCTAACTTACTTGATTCTATGCCCTCTTTGATACATGATGCAGTGCCCCCCCCCGTGTCCTTCCCTGTCCTACCTATAGAGCATATACTCATGGATAACCATATCCCATTGATTTTCCCCTTTCGACCATATTTCTGAGACACCCACTGAATCTAAATTGTCATTGAGCATCAAGCACTCCAACTCCCGTACCTATGACCGATCACAACTACTGTGTGAGACAGGATGCTGGACTAGGTAGAACACTTGATTGATCCAGCAGGGCCCTTCTTATATTCTTAATGTAGATTTATGTCAATTTATTCTGTTTGTTTGGTTTTTTGGTAGGGATTGATCTGTTTGTGCTATGCAGAGTGCATCATGGCACTGTGGACACCTGATGGCATATATCACATTAGAGGATCTATACGCATTGTAATTTGAATCATGGACAAGGCATCAAAAAGCTTCCCTTGTGTTTGTGTAGAGAATGTCTGCAGAGGCTTAAAGTTAATTCCAGATAGCTAGCTGTGTTAGTATTTAGTGGCATCGTAACACAGGAGTCCAGTGGCACCTTAAAGAAAGGCGACATTTATTCCATCGTAAGATTTCTTGAGTCAGAACTCCCCCCCTCCTCAGATGCATTGAAGCATACATCCATCAGTTTGATGTTTTTATAATCACAACAGAATATTTATTTATTTATTAGTATTTTTAGCCCGCCCTACCCGCGAGTGGGCTCAGGCCAGCTTATAAGAGGGCAACAATGCCCACATATAAAACAGGATTAAAACAAATTAAAACAGAATAAAACAATCAAAATAAATATAATATAAAATCATATAAAATAAGCAGGGGAGGAGAGAGATGTTGCAAAGAGAGTCTGGTTTAAAACAGGATGCAATAAAAAGAGTAATCGTTTCACTCAGAGTGGGTGAGGACTGCTTCCAACTGATGTTAGCCAAAGATAGTGTTTTATCACCGATGCCAAGCCCGCCAACTGCCCCCATCTGTCATGCTCTGACCTTGCCAATGTGATGGTCACCTACAGATTAGACTACTGCAATGTACTCTATGTAGGGCTGCCTTTAAAGATGCTTTGAAAACTTCAGGTGCTCCTGAATGTGGCTGCTAGATTGCTGACTGCCCCCCCCCCCCGGTCTGCATCTATAACATCAATACTTCGGCACCTGCACTGGCTTGTGGTCACTTTCTGGTGCAGATTCAAAGCGCTGGTTTTGACATAGAAAGCCCTAAATGGTCTGAGACTATCCTACCTGCGGGACTGCCTCTCC